AAAGACTCTAGGTTTGGTTAAACCACTCAAGTGAAAAGTAGTGTTACACAACATCAACTACAAGACACAATCTCTGGCTATCTGTGTGAAAGTGAGGTGTTTGTTGGACCCAACCACCACCTTCTATTTTTTAACTTTCTATAGTTCTAAACCATTTGACTTCACCGTACACTAAGTGTTATCTTCCTGATCCACACTCCAGTCCAGGTTCATTGTTTGCTAAATGCCATATACCACCAAGAAGAAGAACACGAAGGAGGACACAGTGCTGCAATAAAATAAATAAATTAAAGGAAGAAAACAAAACACTGAGATGTCACAATTTTAATCATTACTACGTTTTACACTGTGGACCAGCATCTTGATCATGTGGGGGCGGTGCCAGCCGCTGAGAAGCAAAACATAACTCATGGTGTCAATGTGGTGTTACTAGCTTGCAACAAGGCGCTAGGAAAATCTTGCTGCAATTAAATAACAGTTAAAAAGTGAATGCTGAAACTATAAGGACTTTCCCTTGGTGCAACATTTCAGTGAGCCAGCTCTGGAGGCGGGGCTTGGCCCCGCTCAGCCCTGGGCAATAGCAGGGCCAGCTGTACCCAAGTCAGCATGATGACCCCCTGCTGCTAGGAAAATATGGAAATGGAGCCAATCTCATGGCCACCCAGCTTGATTAAAGTGGGCTGACAGGTGCTAACGGGGGGGTGACACCCACACCATTAATGTGACTGTTGGCAATGCTTTTATTACAGAAACCGTATGAGATAAGGTTCTCTCTCCTTTTAACTGTTAACTTTCTTTATCTTTACATTGATGAACCATGTTATGCCACCTGTCTACATTTTATTACTACTTGTTAAATCTGCCTGAGAGTAACAATGTATAATAAAATAAGCATCATTCACTGGAGAGGAATGATCAGCTTCCTCTAAATGTTCAAAGTAAACAAATTCATTCCCTTTAATACTATTGCTGGTATGGTATTGATTTACTATGAAAGACACTGCACTCTGAGTGTGCATCAGCCAGTCTCAATGCCATAGAACTTTTTTATTTTGTTAAAACAGACCATACACAATTACCCAGATGCTTGTACAATCCCATCCAAGGACCATGCACATTAAAGTGATTTAGCTGATTAGATTTCCTACACTAACATAAATTGGGCTAAGACTGAAAACAAACACTAAACTGAAGGCAATAATGCTCTGTGTGCATTTTGAGAACATTCATGTGTAACTGCAGCATCAGACGCAAGGAATTATCAGCCACTGTAGAGTGTGGAGTTTCTTTAATGACATTTCAACAACCATCTAAACTAGGAATCTTTTTAAACCCTGTGCCAAGCTAGTTGCTAATGACCACTAGGCCCACTACGACCCTTGCTCCTAATAAATATGTATATAATACATGTTATATGTGCAGATGATCATTCCCAAATAAGCACTGATATTGTTGTTATTCTTAATCTGAAGGACAAGCATATAGGAACAGTAAAAGATGATCATTCTCGTAATAGCACTTTTCAGTCTGAGCAGGTTAAGCCACTAATTTCTTATGCACCAATGCAAATGCACACATGAATGGCAGCAAACTGCCTCACAAAGCCTCTATAGTATGTCTATAGAATGGCTTGTTAATTTTCATGGCACACTGAAGACACTTGTTTGCTAGATGAAAAGGCATTTTTTTCAGCATATGGAAGTAGGAATATCAGTCTAGCTGTCAGGTCCACTTGGCGCGACATGCCTCTCTTTCTTTTTTCCCTCTCCTGCTCTCCCTTTTTGCGGGATCAACGCCTCAGCTGTGTCGCATCGGGTAATTAGTGACTCGTGGGTCGGTGCGCACACCTGAGGCGTATTCCGGTGATTTGTTGGCTTCCTTATTTATACCTCTGGCAGACGCCCCGTCGCCGCCGGAGCATTGCGACGTGTAACGTACCATACGCAAAGTAAGTTTACAAAGGTTGTGTTTGACCCGCATTATTATTATTATTATTATTATTATTATTATATTTATTTATTAAAAGACGTGTGTAAGATGCTACTGAAATACGTGCATTGTCTTCCACGCTGACAGTCCCTGTGCTGTGGATTACATTGTGTACGTTGGTTCTTTTTGTTCACCTGTCCGTTCTCATCTTCCTGCTATCCTAGTTCCTGCCATTAGTGTGTATGTGTACCTGTTCGTCCTGGTCTCCTTAGTCATCACTGCCCTTCCCTTGTTGTATGCATTATGGACCCTGTTTTGTTGTCATGTTGTTTTATTCCATTAAACCACCTTTTTTGTACTGGCACCTGGGTCAGCCATCTTGAGTCCAACCCCAGTTCTCCCTCACCCTCCTGGTGAGGGGGACTAAACCATAACACTAGCTCTATTATGGCTAGAATGTTAGAAGCTGATTTGGGGAGCCACTCTTCCTCCACAACATAAACTTAAAATTAATTTCTAAAGTGATTGAAGCACTTTAGAAACCAGCCACGCCCCCATAGTGAAATACAGCACATGCCAGGGAAATCATTTTTAGCCCAGTGCAGCTTTTTTTGCATGGTGTAAGTGAGAGTATTTTTATTAAAGCTGCTCCATTTTCATGCTGCTGTGGTTTGCAGCTTTCAATGTAATATAAATGTACATTTTATATGAATCTAAGGTATAAAATATTACTACTGCCACACCAAAAAGTCAGTAGCTCTCGAGTGCTGAAAGTGAAAAACATTACACCTTTGGAGATAAAATGAGCTATTTTCACATGCAGAGTAGCAAGTCGCTGTTGTTCAAAGCCTTAGCTACAGTTTATTGTAGCTCAAGAGAAACAGTGTTATGTGCTCTGCACTATAAACATGCTTTAGCTACAGCAACAGCATGGTTGCAACATTTTTCAACTGCATAACCAACATACTCTCTTTAATGTTCATGTTATGTTCATGGCATATTTCATAACACACCACTTATGATGTATATCTGAGTCACCATGTGCTTACTGCAAGCATGGGGTCATCTGAAATTAAGGTTTGTTTTTTTGGTTTTTTTTTATTTACCCTCATTCCTGTGATGAGGCGCTGAGTCATCAGGGATTTGAACACAGTAGGTCTTCCTGGTTTGGATCCCCCCTCCACAAAGAATACTGATGTTAGCCAGCCGCTGGTCCTGCTGGCTCAGGAAGGGGAGGATGCGACACTCGCCCCAGTCTGTGGTCCTCCACACATATCTTACAGAGCACAAAGATAGGAACACATATTTGCAGTGTAAACAAACAAACAGCAGTTAAATGGAGCCAGTGTTTGACATGTCTTAGGAAGTATACCAGAGTATTGTGTTTGTGTATTTTCAGAAAAAAAAAGCTGCAAATGAATGTATTTAAAAGGAAAAACACAACATTGCCGGCTGTTTCAGAAAAATTGCACAAATCAAAAGACAAATTAGTGAGTGCAAACACCTCATGGTATGTCAGAAGGAGGGAGACATGGTTATTTTAATTTCAATACTTAGAAAAACAGTCTAGTTTCAACTATGAAAAATGCAGCGGTGCAGAAAGCAATAATATTGGAGGAGTTTACCAGAACAGCCTGTAGTAATCTATCAAATGCTTAATTTCCATAATGAGTTTTTCCTAATCATGTAAATCCTCTGTTCTCAGGCACTCCATGTAGATGTAACAAATAAAACAAAAGCTACCAGCTGGAAAAGTAATTCTCTACTGACTACTTTTCTTACTACATGTAATATTAGCTAATGCCCGTCTTTACACAAATGTCCGTAAAACAATGTGCTTTTGTCAAACGCTTGTCATCCATGTCATGTCCACTGGGTCGGGAACTCCCGAAAGTACCAGAGGTTATTGTAGGTGTTACAGGATTGAGGTACTGCCAATTAATCAGTGTAATTCAATAGTGAAATCATGAATTTGCAGCCTTTAGGCTTTGTCATAATTATTCAGATTAAAAAGCTCAGAGAAGCAAAATTAAAAATCGTTATTTGTTTTTAGAGGTTGACATTTTCTGCATAACTGGCTGCATCAGGAGATTAAACATGAATAGAACGTTTCTTTCTGAGGACAAAGCTGCAAATGAGCTACCTGGGGCAGTTTGGAAGTAAGTCTCCTATGATGTTGCAAGCTTCTTTTTCCTCAAGGGCAGGGCATAGTTCCCCCCCACTGACCGGGATCTGTGTCATGATCCGTGACCGGAGGCGGTAACCAGGAGACAGGTCGGTGGACCGGCAGGTCTTAGAGCAGGGGCTCCATGATGACCAGTCAGATGTCTGACAGTCTTTGGGCATCACACAAGCCTGGAAGGTCAGGGGGGAGTTGTTCTTGGTACAAAGACTGCCAATTTAAAAAAAAAAAAAGGTTAAAGGAAAAAATACTGCAATTGTGAAACATCAAAACTATTTCACAAAATAACATTTCAGCCCCTTCACAAAAAATGGAGCAGTTTCAGTATACAGACTGAGCTTGAAGCAGAAGTGACAACATACAGTATGTTAGGTGTGGTTTGGGATTAAAATAAGGTGGTGAAGAGATTGCTATATATCAAGTAAAAGTGAAATCAACTGTAAAAAAATGTCATATGCTTGAAGAACATACTAATGGATATCTTGATCTCCTGATGAACAGATGACCTTTGCAGCTTCCACTGCTGCATGACAAAATTCAAAGACATTAGATCCTAGTGATACTGGTCTCAGAGAACAAAGTCAACCTTTTACACAAATGGTACAAAGAGCTGATGTGCTTGTTTAAAAATATGAAACAAATGCTTTAGTCATGTAACCACAGCCTCCATTGTTTAACTTGGACAATGCAATTAGCTAGTTTATTAAGATGTGAGTACAATGCTCATTTTAGAATTTTACTTTGTAATTAGGCTGTAATTAGGAAAGCAGAATGAGGCAGAACTCAGGTGGGAAATCCATATTCACAAGCTCCAGTCCCACTTCTTAGTAAATACCATGCTAATCAGACACTGTACATTAAATGGTCCCTTCACACTCCAGTCAAAGTCACAGAACCCACCTCATCAAAGACAATAACTGCAAATATCAAACATAACTACATAGTCAATTTTAGCCCAAATGGCATGGGGCAAACAAATCTCATTGCATAAAAACTGTCATGATGCTTCAATTCAACACTGCACATGAGCTACAGTATATTTCCCAAAGCTGCCAATGCTTAGCGTTTATCTCGCTGAACACAGTTTCAGGGCAATGCTCATTACTATAAATATAAAAGCAATGTCAAACAATAAAAAAGCGTGATTCTATGAATGCAGTCAAACTGATTTTAACAGTTGGCTAACAGTGTCACTTTACACCAAGTAGATGCTAGTATGGCATTCAGTCAATATACTGTAATATAAGTGCAATGGCTTTCTCGTTCCTTGAGAGGAAAGCACAAGATGGGATGCTGTTTATGACGGCATGTGTCTGTCTGTGTGTGTGTTCTTGCTTTGTGGTTGAGCAAGTGCAGAAAAATCCATTCTTGTCAAATCCAAATACCAGGGTTAGCTCAAACAGCAGGAACAGGAGGGGAGCAGCACTTGACATTTCACAGAATAGTACCTCAACACCAGGCCAATGTATTTGTGAAACCCCAGTTCTCACAGTCTTGTTATAATTGAATAAATAATCACCAGCAATAAAAAGACATCATGTCTCTCATGTTACAAAATGATACAAGCAGCAGCCGAAGAACCATTTAAACCATTGAACTCCATTAGGACTGTTTCACCAGACACCCACATTCAGCTACAAAGCATTCTTCCAACTTGCCTTAAATGCTGCATCAGTGGAAAAAGAGATTAATGTAAGTTAAATCCAGTTGCCTCTATGGATCTGTTCTCCAGACCAAGTGCAAACCAGCTTTTCTCACACAGCCACCATGCTTTCATGGTAATTTCAGAAGCTTATCTCAGACCTTAAGGAATGCCTTATTATTCACTTTAGATTTATATCCCATGTGTTCATTTTAGGTTTACCCTTTACTTCTCACTGTAAGTGCAGTGCGTTGGAGCACTTCTGAATGGCTTACCTCAGCATAGCATTTCTGCCATCACTCCGTGTGCAACGCACTTGTCGTGTCTGGTATCCCACCTCCAGTTCCCATGACATGGGGTACTTGTGCACATGAGCCTGGTGATTGTGATGGGAATGGTGGTGAGAAGCCAGTGTGTGCAAAGTGACTGTGTTGTTCTCATTAGAGGTGGTGCTGAACTCCACTGTAGTCCTTCCACTTAACAGGATGTCCTTGTGGTGGAGTAGTCGGCATTTGCTCCAGGCTCCTACTTTAAGGCTGTACTGGTACTTGTCCTCCCAGGCAGGGCAGTCAACAGGGTTAGAACAAGTCCTGGTCTCAGTAAGGTTGGGGCAGTTTGCCCCTCCATACATTGGTGTGGCCAGGACATGTCGAGTCCGATGCTGCAGGCCAGCACCGCAGGTTTTGCTGCAACTTGACCAGGAGGTGAAGTCTGAAACTACACAGTCCTGGGGGCAAGGGATGAGGCAAGCCTGTTCCAGAGGGGGTTTCTGAGAAAAGAACTCGCATATCTTGGAGGTGACTGTGGTACGGTTTGAAGTGCGTACACAGTGGACTTTACGCCTCTGGAGGCCATGCTGTGCAGTAATGCACTCAACTGTCCTCAGCTTGAGCTCATTGGAAAAGAAAGGGACAAGAACACAGCTGCCCCACTCAGACACCTCCCACTCAAATAGATCCTGGTGCCAATCACAGACCTTAAAGCAGTGCCGCTGGCTCTCTGGCTTGTCAGTGTGCTTGCAGTGGGAGTGGTGGGTTGTCCAGCCTTCCATGTGGACACACCATATTGTCCTTGTTTGAACACCACCAGTACCACATTCCTTCCCGATACACTGACCCCACTGACCTGCAATTAAGGAAAGACACATGGAGAGGGCATTTTCATTAAGAACTGGAGCTTTAGGGAAAAAAAAAAATTAAATTACAGGTATTTAGAAGTTTGCAATCAAGCACAATTCAAAGCCATTCACTTAACCTCTATGAACCAAGGAAGAAAAAAATATCAAAGGAGCACAAAGTAATCAAACCAACGATGAACATCAGTACAAAAAAAGATACAAAGTTAGTTTCTCGGTGACAAATGACTAGCTTCACATACTGCAGGTTCTTCATCCCAGACTGGTCAAATTCTTTAAGGCATGACCAGCAGTTTGGTCAAGTATTGAACTCATTAAATCTGTCCTTAAAAAAGTATTTGTCAGGTTAAAGGTTTGGTTGGAATTAAATGCACAACTCAAAAAACAAGGTGCAGGTATTAGAGGTTTGTTAGTTGTTGCAGAGCTGCTCTGGACTGGAAACCAGGAAGAAGGCCATGGCATTCAGGTGAAGACAGGGGCTGCCTATGGATCACTGGGAGTGATGACCCCCATTGGAGGCGACCACACAGCAGGTAAACAACACTACACAACAAACAGACAGGGGCAGGTGTTCTCTAGGTGAGCTAAGATGGTGGCAGAGGCAGAAGATGGTGGCCTGGAGCTATCCAGAGTCCAGGTGAGTTTAACAGGGAAGAACACACAGTTGAAGCACTATCCACAGAGAACAGAAGTGGCTTACACAGGAGGCAGAAAAACAACTGAAAAAGGACTGGCAAAGTGGGCAGCTGGAAACAGGTAGGAATAATGTTCAGTAGTGGAAAATACAAATCAAAGGGTGCACTGATCACCAAAATACATTACAGTTTTTTTGAATTGCTAAAACACATTTCTTGAAACTATCACTCATTTTCTCAAAACCTTAAACACAAATCCAAATATTCAAACTAAATTCACAAAACCTCTGACTCATCTGGCAAAATCAAGCAATTGCTTCAAAACCATGTCACCAGCACTCAAAATCAAACAATGCTTTCAGATCATACACAAATGAGTAAATCATATACACACTGCAGCTCAGTCATTAGACACTACATCAAAAAAAGGAGAACACAGCATCCAGGACATGTAGTTACAACAAAAAAAAGTTTATTGTGTAGTGAATTTACCAAAAACCATGTTACAATCAAAAAAGATGGAAAAAAAAAACACATCAGAAAGATTATTCTGCCCCAGGATCACGTCTTTGAGCTGGGCCTGGCCAGAGGGCTTCATCTATGTCACAGGCAATGTTGTCCCATCCCAGGCAATGGGCAAAAAACCCTCTGGTGTGGCGGATCCAGCCTTGACAAGACTGCACCTTTATGTCACCACAGACCAGTTCCATTGCCTGTATGAGATTTTCCCTGGTATATGGGTTTCGGTCATAGACTTTCCTACCTGTGCCATCTGTGCACTTTGAACTGGTTTATGATTTGTACCTTCTCATCACATAATTAGAAACAAGTGTGAACAATTTTGAATCGTTGTGTGTAAACGATGACAACTGTGCTTAAGTTGTGTTTTAAGTTGTGCTGTCCTCTGTTTAGTGTTTTTCAACACAAGGTCATCGCAGTGCAAATTGTGTTTTAGTGAGAATGTGTTTAGAGTTTAGCAAAAAGAGTGCATGAGATTTGCTAACAGAGTCTAAGTGCCTGAACTTGTTTAAGGTTTTGCAGAAAGAGTGATTTATTCGACAAATTAGTTTAGGCTATTGAGAATTTGGTTCAGAGAATGGAGTTTATTGTTTTAGCAATTGTGAAAAACTGTAATAGGATACAGTCCTCTTCAGCCAACTGTAAAAATAAACTGAGCTCATTAAATAAGAAAAAATGGAAAAACTGAGGGCAGAGGCAAGTGGTGTTCAGATCCAGAAGTTGAAAACGTCAGATAACCAGGCAAAACCATTGATTGGCTGTAGTGAAGCTGGAGAGAGTGAAATGGTGAAAACTCAGAAGTTCCCTTCAAAATAAAAGCCTCCAACAGGAAGTGAGGCACACAACATGACAATATTTGGTTTTTAATTTTAGTAAGTGTCAATCATTTCATCTCTGTAAAGTCAACAGTGAACACATCCTGTCTACAAGGATAGAAGGGACTGATTGAAACTATAGATTTTCAGTAAAAAATTACTTAGACCAACCACATATACAGTGCCTTGCGAAAGTATTCGGCCCCCTTGAACTTTGCGACCTTTTGCCACCTTTCAGGCTTCAAACATAAAGATATAAAACTGTAATTTTTTTGTGAAGAATCAACAACAAGTGGGACACAATCATGAAGTGGAACGAAATTTATTGGATATTTCAAACTTTTTTAACAAATAAAAAACTGAAAAATTGGGCGTGCAAAATTATTCAGCCCCTTTACTTTCAGTGCAGCAAACTCTCTCCAGAAGTTCAGTGAGGATCTCTGAATGATCCAATGTTGACCTAAATGACAAAGGATGATAAATAGAATCCACCTGTGTGGAATCAAGTCTCCGTATAAATGCACCTGCACTGTGAGAGTCTCAGAGGTCCGTTTAAAGCGCAGAGAGCATCATGAAGAACAAGGAACACACCAGGCAGCTCCGAGATACTGTTGTGGAGAAGTTTAACGCCGGATTTGGATACAAAAAGATTTCCCAAGCTAAACATCCCAAGGAGCACTGTGCAAGCAATAATATTGAAATGGAAGGAGTATCAGACCACTGCAAATCTACCAAGACCTGACCGTCCCTCTAAACTTTCAGCTCATACAAGGAGAAGACTGATCAGAGATGCAGCCAAGAGGCCCATGATCACTCTGAATGAACTGCAGAGATCTACAGCTGAGGTGGGAGACTCTGTCCATAGGACAACAATCAGTCGTATACTGCACAAATCTGGCCCTTATGGAAGAGTGGCAAGAAGAAAGCCATTTCTTAAAGATAGCCATAAAAAGTGTCGTTTAAAGTTTGCCACAAGCCACCTGGGAGACACACCAAACATGTGGAAGAAGGTGCTCTGGTCAGATGAAACCAAAATCGAACTTTTTGGCAACAATGCAAAACGTTATGTTTGGCGTAAAAGCAACACAGCTCATCACCCTGAACACACCATCCCCACTGTCAAACATGGTGGTGGCAGCATCATGGTTTGGGCCTGCTTTTCTTCAGCAGGGACAGGGAAGATGGTTAAAATTGATGGGAAGATGGATGGAGCCAAATACAGGACCATTCTGGAAGGAAACCTGATGGAGTCTGCAAAAGACCTGAGACTGGGACGGAGATTTGTCTTCCAACAAGACAATGATCCAAAACATAAAGCAAAATCTACAATGGAATGGTTCACAAATAAACATATCCAGGTGTTAGAATGGCCAAGTCAAAGTCCAGACCTGAATCCAATCGAGAATCTGTGGAAAGAACTGAAAACTGCTGTTCACAAACGCTCTCCATCCAACCTCACTGAGCTCAAGCTGTTTTGCAAGGAGGAATGGGCAAAAATTTCAGTCTCTCGATGTGCAAAACTGATAGACATACCCCAAGCGACTTACAGCTGTAATCGCAGCAAAAGGTGGCGCTACAAAGTATTAACTTAAGGGGGCTGAATAATTTTGCACGCCCAATTTTTCAGTTTTTTATTTGTTAAAAAAGTTTGAAATATCCAATAAATTTCGTTCCACTTCATGATTGTGTCCCACTTGTTGTTGATTCTTCACAAAAAAATTACAGTTTTATATCTTTATGTTTGAAGCCTGAAATGTGGCAAAAGGTCGCAAAGTTCAAGGGGGCCGAATACTTTAGCAAGGCACTGTAGGAGGGGTCGTGCATGATGGATGTTAGTGTTACCAGCATCCTTCTGTCTGCCACCTCCTCTATGGAATCCAGGGGGCAGCCCAGGACAGAACCCACTCTTTTAACCAGCTTCTTTCTGTCCCTGTCCGTGCTACCTCCCGCCCAACCCACAACAGCATAAAAAACAGCAGATGCCACTACAGTA